GAAACACAGAGACTCCAGGGCGGATGATCCCTCAGGACTAGTGAAGTGAATGGCAATACTGCGAGGGTTGACCGAGGGTGGGTTGGAAAGGGGGAACCAATTACAAGGATCTACATGTGACCTTCTCCGTGGGGAACGAACAACAGAAAAGTGGGTGCAGGGAGATGTCAGACTGGGCAAGATATGACAAAATAATAATTTATAAATTATCAAGGGTTCATGATGGAAGGGCTAGTGGGGAGGAAGGGGTAAAATGAGAACCTCATGCTAGGGGCTTAAGGGGAGAGCAAATGCTTTGAGAATGATGAGAGCAATGAAGGTACAAATGTGCTTTACACAATTGATGTATGTATGGATTGTGATAAGAGTTGTATGAACCCCCAATAAAACAATTAAAAAAATCACTTATAATAATTACTTAATACTCCTAGCTTATAAATATGAATGGGAGAGTGGGTATAGAATATTCGTGGAAATAAGATTTCTAAAAACCTCCTAGAACTACCTTTATCCTGCACTAGTCAGATTTTAAGCCAGGTCCAAGTACAATAAATGTTCTATTGCAGGTCACACTTTGTTGAATCAAGTATTTCCAGTTTAGCTCACTTCCTTGGAAAGATTTTGAAAAGGCAGAAATCCTGGGTAATGATTTAAATGTAATCTTTGTCCTGATACCATATTTCAAAAGGCTGATAATGCTGCCACTAAAGTGGAACAGGGATATAGGTAAACCTTAGCTATATGGATGGATTTTGAGCTAACACTTCACTGTAAGTCCCAACTTAAAAATAATTAGTTCTCATGAGATGGCTTTGCTTCATACTAACCCTTATGAAGAGATCACTGAAGATAAAGGTTCTATAGCAAAGTGTGGTGAAGAAATCAGATGGTGCCTGGCTATAAGAAAGAATAGCATCTGTGGTCTTAAAGAGTAATTTTAAAGCGAGCAGTTGACTACATGAGGTGCCAGACAAGCCCACATGGAAGAAGCACACTAGTATCTGTGATCCAATTCTCTGTCATCAAGTACATGTTGACTCATAGAGACCCCTTGCAGTTTTCTGAAATTGTCTTTCTCCTGTGGAGCTGCTGGTGGTTTCGAATTGCAACCCAATTTGTGACTACTGCATCTCAGAGATCCTTGTGTGATCCAGGATTGTAAATTAAAAAATCCAAGATTAGAGAGGGGAATTACATTAGAGCTTAAATTCTAAGTAGCCAGTTTGCAAAAGGCTTTGGGTGACAGTGAAAGACCAAAATCTGTCTGCAGAGTTACCTTTCCTCATTAGACAAGGGATGTTAATAGCTTCACTCTCATTCAACGTGTACCAAAAAGTTAATTAATGCACCTACAGTTAGGTTAAATTTTAACATCTTATGATTTGTTTCCCCTTTTGACTCATTTAAAATTTTTTCCTAGTTTTTATTTTTCTGCTTTTCTGCTTTATTTTTCTGTGTTTTATTTTGTTATTGTTGCTGGGGTGTATTTGGATGATTTCCTTTATATGAAATTCAGGCTATGTAAATCTACAGAAACAGTATGTAGAATAATCATTTTTTAGGGTTATGGCAGAAGAGGTTGGGGAGGAGTACAAAAATGAAGAAAATGTTCTAAAATTGATGGTGGTGACGATTTCATAGCTCTTATGTAAACCATTGAAGTGTATTACCTGTTAATTATATGTCAATAAAAGTGGAAAAAATAAAAGTAACCTTTCACTTCAATGTATCTAGTATCTCAGTCCTCTTTTAAAATGAGAAGTGTGAAATAGAGTTAAGGACAGATTTTTCCAGTTCTTACATGTACACATAATTCCATATTAAAGTACCTGAAAAATGCAGATATATAGATCTAGACCACACTCAAACTCTAAAGTTCCCAAGTATTGGAAGAGGTAGAGTGAGTGGACTGAGCTAAGGAGAATGTTGAAAGGAAATTGTGGCTTATAGATCTTTTAATGGTGTAAAATATAAATCTAAGTGTAAGCTGGGCAGAAATACTACCAGGAGTATAAGGTTTATTTAATAGGGGAAGCTTCTATTTTATTTCCTTGAAAACATGAACTTGAGGATAAGTCGCTGGAGAGGACTTGATTACAGTAACAGCAAAGGAAAGGTTCAAGAGTGGAAAGAACATGGCTAGGAAGAAAGTACGTAGGAGAGAGAACAGGGAAGACAGACGGAAAGAAAAGGCAAGAAGCCATGAACACTGTGAGTGTGCAGGTGTGTGTGTGTTTTCCGTGATTTCTCTCATAGAAAGCTGAAATTATAACATCAATTCATTTTTGTCTCATACAATATCATTTTTCTTAACATACCAGAGGGTCTATGCTAAGATGTTTATTCCTTAGAAGCTTGGTGCCCTGCTGAAATGGTTCATGTTCATCCAGCTGGCCCTCTCAACACTTGGAAAATGGCTTTGAACTTGAGGATCTACTAGAGCATTAAAAAGTAGAAAGGATGCGCTATTAACGCTCACCAGACTTGAAAATATTTCTTTATATTTCATGTGTGGGGATAGGTATTTGAGAGTGTGACCGTTGACTTCCCAAGCCACCCCTTTTCCATATTTGATAACACAAAAGTAAAACAATATGTATTTTTTGTTGATTTCAAACATTTACTTTAATACACACTGGGCATATGAACAAAAGAGAATCCCATGCACTTGGTCGGAGGTTATGGGTGACAGAAACTATTTCGTATCTACCCACAACAAGACTCTATTTCCATAAAGACATTCTCCAAGACATTTTTAGGTTGTCAGATTTTCTTTTCTCTCTCTTCCTCATTGAGAGGGGACGATAATCACGTGCAGTGCCTTACGCTTTATCTAATGATAGCTTTCTTGCAGAATAGACCCATAAACAGTTTGAGTGGAGACAGGGAAGGTGCCTAAAGGGGCCAACACTCTATGTCTTATTGAGGTAATAGAGAGTTTGCTTCTTGGGAGAGACTCGGATCACAATTGGTTACATGAGGTAGAGAGGTCTTTGGGGGAGAATCAGGGCACTCTTTAGTGGGATCTGAAGCTAAGCAAATGGTTGCAGATGTGTCAGGACCCTGTAGGCTAAAATATGGGCAGATGGCCCCACAGAAGGTGATTCCAGTAAAGGAGTAGATGTGAGACCCATCATTCATGTTGTAAAAGGATACATCTCCAGCATCCAAGTCCAGAAAAAGTCCAATCCTGCGGGGATGCTTCCTTAGGGACAAAGACACTGGAGGACAAGTGAGAGCTTTGATTTCTCCTTCAACGCATGCCACCACCCAGAAATTCTTTTCTGGTTCTTCTACAAACCACCCCTTTCTGTTCACTGTCTCTGAGCAAACACCCAGAGACCATCTAAATTCAGATATACTTCCTCTTTCCATATTCACTTCCACTTCCCAAAAATGTCTCCCAATTGCAAAGCGATCCTGACCCAAAACACTGTGGATGGTTTCATATTCCCCTTGCCTTTGGTATGCTTGGGGATCACAGTCCTGAGGAATATTTTCTGTCCAAGATACATGTCTTCTGTTCTCAGATATCTTGAGGTTGGGATGAGCCGAATCTGGATCCAAAGAAACAGCCACTGCAGTTGTAGAGAATAAAATAAAAATGAAGTCAATCCACCGATAATTTGGCTAGCTCTAGGAAAGGTAGACATCTAAGAAACAAAGAATGGAAGAAAACAGAAACTGAAAGAAGAAAAAGAAGAAGATGAGCAAGGAGAGGAGGAGGAGGTGGAGGAGGAGGAGAAGAAACAAAGAAGAGAAAGAACAAAATAATAACACAAATCCCACTGTGATTGAGTCAATTCTGGCAGTGTTCCCTAGGGCTACTAATACTGTAAATATTGATGAGCTGGCCTGCCTCATCTTTCTCCCACAGAGCAGCTGGTGGGCTTGAAGGACAGACCTATTGGTTAGTAGTCCCCCCTCAAGCCACTGCATCATCATGGCTCCTTTGGAGGCCAACGAGAGGAAGAGAAATGACAGGATAGGTAAAGGAATGTGTGCTCTTTCCTTGGTCTATCAAGAGAAGCCACTTTATGTGTAAAACATAGAAAAACAGAGCTGGAAGAGGGTTGTCTCCTCTAAACACCCCGGCATCAAGTACTCAGAATAGTGTCGCTCCATCCTCCTTCAAATGCTGTTTAGTTACTATTTGCTATTGGTAGTGAAGCTCTGTCATAGTTATCATTGCAATGGGCCTTTGCTCATACGTCTCTTCGGTATCACTTTTCTGTGGATTTGTGTAACAACAAAAGTTACCCTATTTTCTTTTTTTCCAACCCTAACACTAACACTAACCCTATCCCTCCCCTATTTTCTTATGAACTTATATTTAATTCTTATATTATAATTTCTCTAGAGTCAGAAAGACCTGGATTTTGGTGATCAATCTGTACTTAGTAGCTCCGTGCTCTTGGCGAAGTTATTTTGCTTCTCTTAACCTCAATGTACCCTCATGACGATATACGTAACCATGATACCTTGATAGGATTATTGACATAAGTAACTGAGATAATGAGTAGAGTTAAACATGCAGTAAAATTTATTTTCCATTAATTATTGTAACACTGATAGCGGTATTAACAATAATACTGATATTCATTAATTTGCTCTTTTCAATTGTTTTCAGTAATTGAAATTTTTCATAAGAAATTATGTATAGGATATTAGAATGTGTTTGAACATTTGGAGGATCAAAAAAATTAGGAAATTCTTTTGGTCCCAGGGATTGAATCGGAGTAAAGTGTCATGCATTAGAAATGGATAATCTACCCACCATGCAGGAAAAACTCTAAAATGGTCAAGTTATGTTTCCACTTTTAGAGAGATGCCATCTCCGGTCATTTACACAATGGTCTTCCTGTGACTGTACTGTTCTTCTAATGCTATTCACATGAGTAAATGCACCACATGATGGGAATGGAACATTAAATGTCATCTAATGCAAACATGTTTCCCATAGCTACTTCTTGTTCCGTCATACCACTCACCAGAGTTTGTAGGCTCACTTAACTAGGAAATTAAGCAGAGATCAGATCTGCTTTATTCGGTAGTAAATGAAATTTTGTGTCAGTGCATGTGGAATAAAATCTGACAGAGAAATGGTTGTTCTGTTGTGCAGAGTTCTTATGGGCCATAGCCCCCTCGTTGGCACCTACCAATAACAGCATGCTGAATAAATGAATTAATAGCATTCGATAGTTAGAATTCTGCTATCATCAGCTGAGACTGAGACTGTGAGTGGAAATCTTGGAAGGAATAACCCCCCAAAGAACTGTGGTAAATTTACACGACTATGCTTTCATTTGTACAGAGATTACGCGGGGAAGAACAACGATGTCACTTGCCTGCTTTGAAATATTCTTTTCTCCAATCTGAAAAGAAGAAAGAGCCCAATCAGAAAACATGCAGAGAGAATGTTTTCTGAACTAGTTGTTGATCCCTGGCTAGATTTTTTGTTCAACAAAGTACAATTTTATCTCTAGATAATTCCCAAGAGCATTATAAAATCCAGTGAGCCCCCCAAAGAATATCAAAGTTACTTACCACCATATAAATATGCTTTTTCCCAATCTGAAATAAAACCAAGGAATTATTTTTTTTATTCTCAAGATGTACCCTTCAAAATTTGAAATTACTACCACCTTATGAAACATGAAGTTTTCTAGAGTACTATATCTCTACTCATCTTTATAATATGAGTTTTCTCTCTTCTGTCCAAATTCACACATTCCCAAACTGCACCACTCAATCTATGACAAAATCTTTGGGTCTGATCTTCTCAGTGCAAGAAGGGTAAGATAGATCTGAATAAGGAATGCTTGGGCCTGACAATATTATCTTCATAACTCACCATGACTATATAGCTCCTTCCTTCTGGCTGAAAAAGAATAACGCTTATGAGATCCAAGTACACAGCATAGACTTCAAACTGTCTTATCTATAAGTACAAAGAAAATGCAGAACTTACCTAGATCTGTCTTGAGTAATTCTAAAAAAGGAGAGAAGTTTATAAAACAGATTTTATAGAAAGAAAAAAAAGCCAAGTTCTAGTTTCAAGATAGTCTTGCACATATTCTGACTGGTACTTGCAGACATCTAGACCAAGAAATTTACTTTAATTGGCAATTACGGTGACCCTTGGTTGCTATCAATACATTATCTATCTCTAATGGATTCAATGATAATATTTCCCTCCCCTGAGATCTTAACTCCATGTCTTAATGGAGAGGAGAGGGCTCCCCTTCAGTTCTTCATGTATCCCTGTTTCCCAGCAGACCCTAGCCCTGTGCGCAGTCACCAAATCATCCATTCCATCCCCTAACAAGTCTGATCCCCAGGGTTTACCTATGGTTTGGCATTCTTCCGCTTTTTCCTTCTGAGCTTCATATAATCTCCTCTTTTTTTCCTGATGTTTCCTGATCAAAACCCCTACAGCACCCATGAACACCCCAAGCATCAGGAGAGTCACAATAAATGGTGTCTTCCAAGGCGATGTCCTGGGGAAGAAGGGCTCTGACACAGCACAAGGTTAAATCCAAACTATTCATCATCGACGCCCAGGCCACCTCAACCACCTCCCGTCCCAAATAACACCTCCTTACTCCTCTCTTCTCTCTAAAATAAGAAACACTTACCTGGGATAGAAATGGTTTCCACCCGCTCTTCTCCAAAGACAGGGTTCTTCATGGAGCAGGACACTGTTCTCCTGGAGCTGTCCCTCACAATGAGGGATGCCTCCATGTGGAACAACCCATCATCATCTGGGGTCTCATCTTCAGAGAGTGAAGGGATCCTCCTTCCAATTTCATCTTTCCAGTGTACCTCGGGCTGGGGGAACCATCCCTTCCCTGTACAGGTGACTTTTATTCCATCTTCTTCTGGACCCACCATGCGTATGTGAGGACCAGAACCCAGACCTGGGGAAGAAAGCCATTTGTCTGAAACCTAGAATTTTTTTAAGCTAGATATCCTTAACATTGTATTACACACCAGTGTGGGGAGAGGAAGAATTTTCCTAATCCTGAGTGGGAGTTGAGAACTTCTTTTATTGTCCCCATGAAATAGGTCTGTATGTGTTGTGCCAAGTCACAGAAGACTTCTCTGGGCTTGAAGTCGTACTTATTCCTTAGCCTAATTAATACATAGTCTCCATCTAAGCATACCTGCAATTAGATTATAGAAAGGTAAAGAAATGGAATCGAGGAAAATTTGCCAGAGTTGAAGTACCGAGGTCCTTCTAAAAGATTTACAAGGAGAAACGTTCATAGAAGCCTAAACCCGATGCTTCATGGAGTTGCTTTATTGAATGGTCTCCCTGTGTAATGGTTCCCGCTTTCATTTTCTCTGTGTGGAAACTAAAAGGTGAAAGCGTCCAGGTGAATTGAGTTAAAGAGAGAGCCCACGTGATTTCTGGTTCCTCCATTCTACTCTCTTTCTCTCTGTGTCTTCTTTCTGACGCCGCCTTTCCAACCCCGCTGCCGGAGAACGGAAGCAGCTAGCTTTTTGTTTGTAGCATCTTTCTTTTCCTGCCCACAAGCTGAACCTACTGGTAGATCCATGGACTTTTCATCCATATATAAGATTGCTAATGTTCTGTTTTATAGATGGAGAGAGAAAGAGAGAGAGATGGTTAGATAGATAGATAGCAGGCAGATACACACATTATGATGTTAAGGTGATGATCTACATAAAGCAGCACGTTAGCAATTCCCATTTTCCTTTTAAGAGTAAATAGCTATCCTGACTTCTACGTCCTGTTTCTGAAATTAAGAGCCCCTTTCAGTATAGTTCAGTCCTACCCCAGTTCCACAGATGTAGGAAATACATTGGTAATATCTGTTCATTCATTTATTTGGGGCAAGAATCACAGACAAAGATTGGAATGAAAAATGAACTAGCAACAATGATGACAAAACTCCGTATAGTCCACTCATGCTCTGAGAATGTCTATTCGTTCACATGTGCACAGTGGCCCCTCCCGTGAGGCCCTTTCAGCATTCCCAAATGTAACTCGGGTCATGTGTTCCTTTACTTCTCTTTCACTTAGCTCCTTAATAGTTGTTTTCTGATGCCAGCGCTCTGGTTACAATTTTTCCTGCCATTGCATCCAGGCTTTTTCCAAATAATGCTTTTACATTTTAGATTTGGCCATTAAGGCAATCAGGTGAGTCTCAACCCCTTGCTGTCGTTGTTGGAGGTGGTGGCCTGAGAGTAGGGGTAGATTCTGGCACTATAATGTTTTCTTTCGAAGTCCATAGTAATATATTTAATTTATTTATGTCTGTCTAGGACTTTATCAGCTTCAAGCATACTTGCCTCTTTATCTTTGTCCTATCCATAATCTTCCACCAGTTTACACACACAACACTCATATTTTTGTGGGGATGGTATATATTCTCAAAAAATTACTTACCTATCACTTTCAGCTCTAAAATGGCCTCTTCAAAGTCATTGCCCTTCTTAAAGAAACACTTATAGATGCCATTGTCTGAAACTTGGAGGCTGTAGATTTTTACAGCAGCTCTTCCCTCCGTAATATAATCTTTCACCAACTCCGTTCTCCCTTTGAAGTCCACCAGTTGTTCTCCCACCTGCTCCTTTCCATCCCGATACACGTACACAGCCTCGGAGAACTGGGAGCGAGACCAGCGCAGCTCCATGGTCTCCACACTCATGACTGGAGACACTCGACAGGGGAGCACGGTGTCTGCACCCAGCGTAGCGATAATGGGCTCTGCGGGACCAATCACCACAAATGCATCTGTGAAAGGGGAACACGGTGAAAAGAGCGTGAGAATGACTTGCCTCCTTCATACAGCACAGATGGCAGCACGCATTCTGACTACCAATGTGGTAGTGCACAAGCCAAAGGGATTTCTGCGAGCTTACAATTAGCAGGGTGATGTCACGTTAGGTAAATGTTTCACTGCAATGGTGTGTACTTGTGTGAAGAAGGATAAGAGGATGCTGGGAAATCACAACACTCGAGTTTGAGTCCGGGTTGTGACACCAGAAAATGCATTTTCCATGAAGCTGAGGTCTGGATGCATTAGGAAGTATGTATAACGTATTTCTACCTGCCCTTTGCTCAGTGAAGAGATTAAAACCACACGCAAGCGACTCCACTGCATTGAGTTGACTCTGACTCATTTTAACACTGTAGATAGGGTTTTTAAGATTGCAAATCTTTACAGGAGATAAGCCTCATATTTCCCCCACTGAATTCTGATGAATATGAGCCATTGATGTTGAGGTTAGTAGCTTAAAATCGAACTCACAGCACAACCAGACCTCTTTTAAAGAGGTGTGTGAGTATATCAATGACTTAGACTGATTTAATCATTCTATCTTGAGAACCAGAGAGCTCACATAGGAAAACTAGAAACAAATATTAAAATGTTTTACCTGAACCCCATATGGACATCTGGAGAAGGAGGAGAGAGAGGAGCTTTCTTGGCCAAGAAAAGTCCAGGGAATCTCCCAGCTTTCCCATTGCAGGGGACGGAATCACACAGAGGAAGGCGCTGGACACTGCTGAGGTCAAGACAAACACAAGACCCACAAGGTGAAAAGAACATGGCTAGACTGTCCACAGTGCTCTGTAGAAGGCCTCCTAGAACTCTCTGATCAACAACTGCCTTGTCTTCCCCAGTCAAAATTAAGGACAGTCTTTCACATTCAAGGGGGAAATATATGTACATTTAAATGTGTGTGTGTGTTGCTTCCATTTTCTAAGGAAAGATTCTTCATTTTAATAGTCACATTCTGAAGAGATCGGTCTGCTCCAAATCGCTCTAGACTCTTCCCTTAGTCAACATAATTTTGTCCTGTGGACGAGAGAAGCAATGGCGATGTCTCCAACACAAACATTACTCTGATTTTGGTGTAGTTTCTACTTACATTTTACCACCTGATTAAAGTAGACCGTACTTAGCCTACCCTTATCAATTCCTAAGGTCTTTGTCTGGATTTACCCATTTCCAGCCCCTTTGCCATCACGCAGAAGACATTTCGGCAACACTCACATATTTTATGCTTTTCTTACAGAGATGAAAACTTCTTGGAGCTCTTACCCTCACTGCTGCTGACTCCAGCGCCACATACTTCCTGCCTCCTCCTCCTTGGCTGCCATCAGGTGTCTTCTATGAATCTTGCTCCAAGATACCAAGAAGAGACCGCATTTCAGAAAGCGTGTAAACCCAGAAGGAAATCTTGGGTGGTATTTAAAGATAGTCAGCAAGTCAGAAACAAGAACTTCATATAGTAACCTCGTGGCAATGCGCTTCTCTTTGGCCACTCTGCTATTCTCAAAATAGAAAGTAAAATTAAATAAGGAAAGAGAACTTTGACCTGATCTGGGTCATAAATCTACCCAATAATTACATGTTAACAAAGTGTGGTGAGGAGAAAAGCAAGTGATTTTAGTTTTGAGAAATACTATCCATGTTTAAAGCACAGATATTAGAACTTAACTGAACTAAACTAAAATTAAAAACGTATTGCTATGAAGTAAGGTCTACCCATAACAGTGTTTTGGAGGCTGTAAACCTACAGAAACGAATAGCCTCCTCTCGCTCTCTCAGATAGGTGTGCATTCGAATTGCTGGCCTTGCTGTTAACAGTCCATTGTTTACCTTATAGCACCACCAGGGCTCCTTAGAACTTGACTACCTGAGTTAAAAATCTTACCGAGGCTACTTACTAGCTCGTGACAAGGCACAATGTCTCTGTGCCTCAGGTTCCTCATCAGATCATGAGTTTAATAATAACTCTTACCTCAAGTTTTGTGTGAGGTATACATGATTACACACACACACACACACACACACACACACACACACACACCTTACTTTAAAATGTACAGGGCACGTGTAAGTTTTATATAAGTTATTTCATTTTAAATCCATACTCAAGTCACATCACTATGCCTGCCATTATGGCTGTATATTTCCTTATGGCAGTTAGAACTTTTATTCTATGATACAGGGAACTGGAAAGGCATAGATATATTCAAAGTTTACAATGTTCTTCCTCTCCAGATGTAGATTTCTTCCAATGACATTTGTGATATATCTATGTTGACCAGGAGAAACAATACACCACCCCTAAATAATTATATGGACTCTTTCATCTTTCCTCCATTCTGTTAACCCTGAGAAAGAAAAGGATAAAATTAGTATCCTTTGTTTACATCATTCATTTTTGTTTTTAAGATCCTTTATGTCCTACAAATTACAGGAAGATTATTTTCCCTGTTTAGGATGACCAATAATTCTGAATTGGAATATGTGAGAATTAATAAAGCTTTAATCAACATTTTTGAAACCCTGGATCTAAGGTAAAAAATCTATATACAATTTAAAAGAAATAAGAAAGTAAAAATGAAACAAAAAGAATTAGCAAATACTTTAACAAAACTATAGAAATGCCATTATTAATATAGAAACAGAAATATCATTCAACTAGAAATCATACAAACAACTAAGCTACCCTTTCTTTCTTTCTTTCTTTCTTTCTTTTTTAAGCTATCCTTTCAAAAGGATGAGTTATTCATCAAAAACATATCCCTGACAGTAGGACTCTTACTGACCCTTCCAGATTGGAAATGAATTTAATTTCCTGGATCAATGTTTAGCCAAACAATAGACAAGTCTATAGAGGGAACAGTAACAATAGAGTGCTAAAAACACCTTAGAATAATAAATAGTTTGAGATGAAAAGGACAGCATTTATCCAAGAGCAAAGTTCAGAAGGATTAGGTAGAAAGGAGGATTAAAGCAGGAATTACAGGGAGAAAGTGGGACTAGAGATGGTTCATTGTGAGGATTGCAGACGATGAGATGAAACAAAATGTATATGACTTGTTGGATGGACTGATCTGCTCTGTCCACATATCCAATTCACAATTAAAAGGAGAAGAAGAAAGAACAGATTGTTGTTAAGGGCTGTCTGTATGGTGCTAACAACATACAATAGTTTTAAAATTCAAAATCAGTTGGGAATTTTAAAAAAGTTATAATTAATTAGAAACAAATAGAAAATTTCAGACCATATAAACAAATGTATAGATTTGAATAATAAAACAGTTATGCTATATCAAATCATTTACTTTATGACTTGACTAGATCCCAATTTTAACAATTTTGATGGAATAGAAGTACATATAAAGGCAATTAAGATGGATTAATTGAATGATGCAATGTGATACTTGTGTATCTCCCACTGTGCTTGGAGTATCGTACTTTCCTTAAATCTGTTGATATAAATAAACCACAAAATATGTTTGCTCCAAGTATGTCTTATGAAACTTACAAAACTTAAGTACTGAGTAACTTCTTTAGATATTTGGGTTTGCATTTTTTTGACATGTAAAATTTTTACATGAGTATTAGTGATGCTGTCATCCTTTTGAAAAAACATTTAGTCTTTAGTCTTCAGACGTTAGTCCCCACCACAGGAAAGCCACACAATCTCACTTCAAACCACTCTTCTGGGAGAGGCTGCCACAGCTAGAAGGAAACAGATAAAATCAGCATGTGTCTCCTCCTTGCTGGGGTGGGTGCCTTCAACAGACAGCATCTGCCAAATCTTCCATGCTTCTCACCCGCTTCAACTTAAAAGACAGTGACAAACCAAAACAAAGGAAAACAACAAAACTCACTGCAATTAAGTCGATTCTGACTCAGGGCAACCCTCTAGACAGGGCAGCGCTGTCCCTGTGGGCTTCAGAGACTTGTCCGGCTTTACAGGAGCAGAAAGCCTCCTCTTTCTCTCGAGGAGCGCCTGGTGATTTTGAACCGCTGATCTTGCCATTAGGTGCCCAACAGATACCCACTGCACTCCCAGGGTTCCAATGACAACCCAGGTGGGGGTAAGAAGAGGATGAGATATATTCCAGAAGAATTGAAATCTTCTGCCAACCCCAAGGCCCTGCATGAAAGGAAATCTGAAACCCTGCTTGTCTAAAAATATCTGTATTTTGTCCTCACACTTAAACGATACTTTTCTTACATAATTTTCGTTTTCACTGGGGAATATAAAAATATTTTGTTGTTTTTTTAAATCAAGGAATGACAGATGTATGATGAAATGCATGCCTTATTTTCTTTTGTAGTTAACACATTACCTAGATTCTGAAGTTTTTGTTTGTGTGTTTGTTTATCTTGGGAACTCTAAATAGTTATAAGATTATATGTTTAAATGTCCAAAGTTTTTCCACCAATAATTCAGTTTTTAAAATGAAACGCCCTTTTAATCGCAAGTCAAAAAGATGAAGTTAAATTTTATAATACAATGTATAAAGCCCTGGAGTTAGACAACCAAAAGGGAAGAAATCCTATATCATATCCCAAGTCGAAAGAACTGAAGGGAAAAAAATCAAGTCTTGAAATTTTTGAAGGATTCTTTGGGCAAAATATTGAACAATGCCGAAAGCATCCAGGATAAAAGAAAGAAAAAGAAAACAGTAGGCATATGCAGGCAATGTACCAACATCTTGGTTGATATTCACCCATTTTAAGAGGTAGGGTATAATCCAGAAACAGTGATATTAAAAGAAGGTGGGCAAGCTACACTGAAGTCAATAACAAAGAACAAGCCCCTGGGAATGGAGAGAAAACCAACGGAAATACGCCAACACATGAATGGAGCCCTCAAATCACTAATCTATTCAAAGAATCTGGAACCCAGCAACCTGACTAACCGACTGGAAAGGATTCATATTTGTGCCAATTCCCAAGAAAAGTGATTCAGTGGAAAGAAGAAAATACCAAATAATATCAAGACTAGTAAGGCTTTGCTGAAGGTAATTAAAAGTTGGTTGCAGCAATATATCAACAAGGAGCTTCTAGAAATTCAAGGCAGATTCATAAGAGGACAAGGCCAAAGGTCTATCACAGCTGATTTGGCCGAAAGCAGAAAATATCAGAAAGATGTTTACTTGTGTTTTATTTACTATGCAAAGATCTCACATGGTATAGATCATAACAAACTATAGATAACATTTCAAGAAAATGGGAATCCCAGTGTGGCATAATTTCATAGTCACTTGCTAAATAAGTCTAAAGGTGGATGCTAACTTGTCAATTGTCACAGCCTGATGATACCTCCTTGTGGGTGTGGCCTTCTCATGAGGATTCTGGGATCTCCATCTCTTCTTCTCTAGAGGTGGGACACACTCTTTCTCTGCTTCACTTTCCTGCTGTTGGGACACTCAGAGAGCAGAAGAAGCCACATGTAGATGCTTCCACTGCCACTGGATCCACAAAACTTTTCACCCACTGGCCTGTGATCTTCCTGCATTTGGCATCCTTGTGAGTGGCTACCTGACTCTGAAGTGAAATTTATGGACTAGTATCAGACATATGGGCTAATGTTGGACTTAGGGACTTGATCTGGACTGGGCTGGGACGTTTCCTCAATCAATGTTCAGTTGCTCTTCCACATAAAGCTCTTTCCTAGACATACATGTGTGTCCCTGGATTTGTTTCTATCGTCCACTCAGCCTAACACATGCAGAACACTTATTGTGCTCATGAGGAACCTGACTACGGACCAAAGGACATTATTTAGCAGAAGAAGAAGAGACTAAACAAAGTTTAAAATACATAAAGTTATATGTAAGGGTTGTGACCTTTCACCATACTTAATCAGTATCCCGAGGAAGTCATGTGAGAAGCTGGACTATGGAAAGGAGCCTGGAGCGTCAGGATTAAAATCAGGCTCATTAACAACCTGCCATATGCATATCGGCCTTGCTACTGAAAGTGAAGAGGACGTGAAGAAATAACTGAGGAAGAGAAAAGACTACAGACTCACTATAGATTACAACTCAATGTAAAAGAGGGCCTGATGCCAGGGGCTTAATTGGAGAACAAATGTTTTGAGAACGGTGAGGACAATGAATGTACAAATATGCTTTACACAATTGATGTATGTATGGATTGTGATAAGAGTTGTATGAGCCCCTAATAAAATGATTAAAATAAATAAATAAAATTGAATTAAGAAATAATTTCAAAAAGAAGACAAATCTTAACAATTGGACCAAGAAGCTACATGATGTTAACTGGAGAATACATTCAAGTTGTTAGGGAATTCATTTTGATTGGATTCATAATCAATGTGCATAGAAGCCCCAATCAAGAAATAAAATGATGTATTACATCGGGCAAATCTGCACAAGACTTCTTACAAGGGTTTACAGTGCGAATATGTCCCATTGCAGGCCAAGGCACTGCCTGATCCAAGTCATGGTGCTTTCTATCATCTCACACGCATGTGGGTGTTGCACAATTAGTAAGGAGACTATATGAATTATGCTGATGGCAAAGCATTTTGAAAGCACCATGGACTTGTAGACGAATGGGCAAATCTGTCTTGGACAACGTGTAGCTCCTTAAACGCCAAGCTGGCAACGCTTCATCTGACATGTTATCAGAGAGACAAATCTCCACCAGAGAAAATCCTTTCTGAGTGAAGTAAAAGGCCATTGCAAAGGAGGACGATTCCAAAGGAGGTGGATTGGCACAGTGACTACAACGAAGGACGGAAAAGTAGCAATAATTGTGTGGATAGCGCAAGACAGGGCACCATGCATCCAGTTGGCCGTATGGTTGCAGTAAGTCAGCAATTCAATGGCGTTGAACAACATTATGTAAACATTTTCAGTGCAAGGGCCATGAGTTAATTTCAAATTTTGCATTAACAAAGAAGCCAAAAATTAATGTAACAGGTGCCACACTATTTAGAATAGAAACAAAACTATTTTGGTGTAATATTCTTTTTGGAATACTGTTTCTCTCTCTTAGGATGAAATGAATAGAAAGAGAAATAAGGTGCATTTCCAAGAGATGTAAGTATTAAAGAGCAGATACAAATTGAAAATAGGAGGTTTTCATACTCCTTGTTATTAACATTGGAAGAGGTTTCCCTCCTGCCCTCTTTCAGAATTCAATTTAGATAACTTATTGTATATTCTGTCTCTCTGCCTCTGTAAAGTATGTGAATCTATATTGTTTTCTCAAAGACTTGGGACTCATCTTCTTTGAAACATAAACAAGGCACAGGTAAAATATACCTTCCCATTTTATGGAAGAAAACATATAACTTAAGGTATCCTTCTGTAAATAAGTTAGAAAAATAGCAACTTTACCTTGAACACTCGGATGTAATGGATTGCATCTTCTTACCTATATAGAAGCACAAATTACTTTGATTTTGCCATGCTTTTTTTCCCTTTTCATTTCACTGATGTCACCAAACCAACCTATTGTCATCAAATTGATCTTAACTCTTAGCAACACTGTAGGACAGAGAAAAACCATCGTGGAGCATTTCTAAGGATGTAGATGTTTAAAGAAACAGATGAACAAACCTTTCTCCCATGCATTGGCTGGTGGATTTGAACTACTGATTTTTTGGTTAACACCCAAAAGCCTTAAATACTTTTATTTGACTTTAAATTCTGAGCAGAAGGCTACAGTCAATAGTGGACTTCTTAATCTATTTTGAGTCTCCAAATAGATTCAGTCTCCATTGAACTATTTCTGATCCTTAACCAGCAATGTGAATACCCTCGTCCTCAGGTAGCGTGCTGTCGAGAGTGGATTACTACCACTTGCAAAGCCAGTATAAGGAGAAGCAGACTAGCAATTGGGGATTTGTCCGCGTGTGCCCTTGATGGCATCTTTTCACACCTACACATATGACATTACTTATAGGCAAGATCTAATTCTCTTTCCAGGTGGACTTTCCGAGTAACTGGCGCTAGAGAAAGCGGTGTAATTACTCTACCTTTCCATGGAGATGACTCACAAGTAGGCCTTCTTGGATTTATGAATCTGTTTCAGGACTTTCAGAACCTTTATGAGGTTTCATTAAGTCTTGCTGTGTGTCTTCTCGTCCTTGATTTGTTAAAAGCTGTTTTCTCTCTGTCCTGTTTGCAAACACTTTTGATTTCCCTCTTTGCACTTGGCTTCAGTTCTTCAGTATGGCTAGGCATTTCTTGACTTAGAAACTTTTCTGGGAAACGGTGCTCAGTTTTAGCATCTCACAGGGGTCATTTCCATTGTCAAGGAGCTATAGGTTATTTTATTTGCAGCTTTGGTGAAGGAAGTGGTGCTGTATCATTTATTGCTTCATGATTGATTGTCATTGTCTGAATTGTTGTGTGGTATCACCTGGAAGCGTGTGAGTAAAGGCAGTCGTTTCCCTCTGGAACACATTTTGTCCTTTGGAAAGATAAAATGCCTGCTCATTACTCAGGCAGTAGAATCTGGCATTCCATCACCAAGAACCCTTTAGAATAGCAGAGATCCACTTTAAAAAGTATTTTCAGTGATTTTTACATGGGCTAAGTGAACTGGAACAGTTTGAAATGATGTTGCTACTTTTTGCACGATTGTGTGGCTCTTTGTTGTGCTACTTTGACAAAGTTGTACAGTTGTAACATTGAATGTTATAGGGGGAAATTCATGCAGCAAGCAACCTTATAACCTATTTGTTAACTTCTGAGGCTCAGTGAGCGTTTGACCTACATCCAAGTTGGCATCCACTGGGAGAAGCTGCTTGTGGGTCAGCTAGGAAAGTGGATGAGAGTCTATCATGAACTTCAATTTTGACATTAAGAACATGTTATTGGAGTTTTAATTTTGTCCCTCCTTTCCATTGACAAATTATTTTTGAGAAAATTTAAATAACCATTTAAAGAGTGCACTATAGAAAAAAGTATTAATTTTTAACATGATGTAACAAAGCCTTTCTAAAGGGAAAAAATTTGAAAATATATGTTTACCTTTAGATCTTATTATAAATTTTATATATATATATATATATATATATATATATATATATATATATATATATATATACATACATACATATATTTTTAGCAGTTTTGATTTTGTAACATGTGATGAGGGTTCCTACACCGGTAAAGAGTTACCATCTTGGAAATCCACAAGGGCAGTTATGCTTTCTCTTCTAGGTTCACCATGATTCTGAACTAACTCGATGGTAGTGAGTAGTTTGCATGCTTATAAATAAAATTGCTTTATGAGTATAAAGAATTTATGAAATGGTTAATTTTTGACAGATTTTTGTATAAAACAATTTTAGAATCAAAATCTTTACAAGTAACTTGAATTAGATATTAAGGAATGTGTTTCACTTAGGGAATAAAAGGAATTATTAAGGTAAAACCAGTTTCTTCAGCTGGTTAGGTTAAAAATTTGCACACTACTAGGTCTAGTGTTTGATAGCAGCTAAAGGAAAGGGGAGCTGAGGTCTGGGTTTCACATCGTCCCAGGATATGAAACTTTATCAGAACCAAAAAAGCCCTCCTAGATTCCATGTAGAAATAGCCTTAGTGATGCAGTGGGTCAAGTTCTGGGCAACTAACTACAATGTGTTCTTCAAGCCCAATAGTCACTTTCAGAAAGCTCAACCTGCCTACAGGAACTGAGTTTTCAAGTCTCCCAAGCCCTGGGAAGCAGATTTTACTCTGTCTTCTAGGGTTGTTGTGTGTTAGGACCAACTCAATGACAAATTTATATTTTTTAATGGAGACCTTTTAAAAGAATGACAAAGGCCTAAATTTAGATTAAATAAGAACAATCACTTTAAATGATTGTACTGGTGAGATTTTATGTCAACTTGAACCTATGTGAAAGTGAAGTGCGGTGGTGGAATCTAACCTGTCAGTCAGGTAGTAGCCTTGTGATGCTTCCCTGGGGATTTGGACTTTTTATAAGAGAGACCCTGAAAACTATGTGTATTTCCCTTCCTACGGCTCTTCACCTTCCTCCTTGCTAGGACTTTGTGTCTACCTCCAGGGGCAGCCCCGTGTGGGATGCCTGACCCTAGGGACTGTCTTGGTACTATCTTCTCACTAACCTTGGACCAAAGACTCTGTATCGACCGGCCTATGACCCTCCTGCACTCCCATTCTTTTCTGCCCCATCAGTCTACAGCTAGCCACGTGAGTCTAAGGAGGGCTCTGGCTAGCATCGTGGACTCATAGACTTGAATTGGGCTAGGCTGGAATGATATAACAATTGGGCTAGACTTCCTGATATAAAGTTCTTGCTTTCACATATATGAGTATTACTGGTTTTGTATCCCAAGATAACCCAGCCTAAAACAATGATTAAACTTTATTTCTTCAGTGTTGTATAGTATACAAAGAGTTTTAACATCTTTAAGTAATTTGCTGATATTGAGTTAACAAACTTTGTTATAATTTGATATTAACATTAAAAATATATATCTATACTGAGGCATATTAAATAGTGTGTTCACTTTTCCCATATAAGAGATATGCAACAAGAACAATGTTTAAAGTATCATTAATGATCAGTCTGATATATTTAAAAAGTTACCTCTCTGATTAAAGTTTAACAGTTTAAGATGCTTGTAAGGATCTTTATTACTAAATTGTGTAGATCAAATTTGTCATTGCAATAACAAAAATATACATTTTTATTATTTTATTATTAATTTCATTATTTCATCAATTCTTTGGAGAGTCTGGCTTCCAGTACAAAGATGAATTAGGTTCACCAAACTACATGGTTTTGAAAAAGGCTGATATCCAAGAGTCATTTCTCAGATTACTGTAAATCCCTGGCAATTCAAAACTTCACAAGAAGTCATGTAGACTTCACCACCTGTGTGGTCGTTACCTTAACATATGCCATCTTTTGTCTTGTTTCTCCCCTACGTTACCGTGGAATTATATATAACTTCCTGCACTGCTCTCAGACAGTTATGACGGTGTGATAGACTGGAAGATTTGGTCTGCAGGTCCATCTAAACAAGTCTGCCTATAGACTCATGAAGACATCCAAGGAGATTGCTTGTGCATCGTATATATTACTCTTACTGTTCATAGTGGACATTTACAACATGTGATTATCAGTTTTATTTAATAGTTATCATTTAAATTATTTTCATTTTTAACTTCTTTATTTTGAATCTAGTTACTTACCTATAAATTTACTTCAGATGTTTAGTAACTTGACAGTTTGGCATTATATCTGGTTTTTAAAAATTAAGATTAATTGTTGTTTTAGGTGATATTTTTATATAACACAGTTTCTGACTCTTAATTAAATTTATTTAACTTTATTTTGGTTCCAGATTCCCATTAAGTCTTTCATTTTTAATTATTAATTTTGTTATCTTATTTTATTATTATTATTAATTTTATTATTAATTGACCATGGCGATGTCAGATTTTGTTATCTATAGGTAAGCTTTTGCTAAAACACTTGACCAATAACTGGACAGCAAAAAAAAGGACTACGTAGAACTTATAAAAAGGACATAGTAGAAGACTTAATATCTATTTACTCTTCTTAGATAATACATTCTAGAAAACCAACAGATGTGCTTTGACCCTGTTCTACAGGGACACTATGAGTTAGAATCGAATCGATGGCAGCGAGTTGAGTTTTTAATCACTGGTATTATAAGTCTCCATTGTTGGCTATTTTAATGATGCAATTATTAGAATGATCAAATGTCTCATGCATGTTGCCTGTAAGATTATTTCTTTGAAATCGAATAAGCTGCCTGTGAAGTGGACCACAGCTATATAAACTAAGTATATGAAAGAATTTTGAGTTTGTACCTTAAGACTTAAGTTGCAATCTGAGAACAATGTTGTTGCTATTGTTAGGTGCCATCCAATTGCTTCTGACCAATAGCAACCCTGGGCATGCCCTCATCACAATGGCTCCTTTGCCTGAGACCATTGCTGCAGTCACTGTGCCAATCCAGCTCCTTAAGGGCTTTCCTCTTTGTTGCTGCCCCTCCATTTTGCCAAACATAATGTCCTTCTCTAGGGACTGGTCTCTCCTGACCATGTCCAAAGTATGTAAGATAAAGTCTTGCCATCCTTGCCTCTAAGGAGCAGTCTGACTTTACTTGATCCAACACAGACCAGTTTGTCCTTTGAGCAGTTCATGGCATGTTCAATATCCTTCTCCAGCACCACAATTCAAATGCACACATTCTTCTTCAGCCTTCCTCATTCACTGTCCAACTTTCACATGCATATGAGGCAATGGAAAGTACCTCGGCTCCAGTAAGGCGCACTTGGATCCTTGAAGTAACAGCCCTGTTTTTCCGTACTCTGACGAGGTCTTGTACAACAGAGCTTCAACAGATCATTTGATCTTTTGACTGCAGCTACCATGAGCAGTGATTGTGGATACCAGCAAGACAAAAATTCTTGACTGCAGTCTTTTTTTTCCCATTTACTATGACATTACCTACTGGTCCAGTTGTGAGGATTTTGGTTTTCTTTATACTGGGTTGTAATCCATACTGAAGGCTGAAATCTTCATCAACAATAGCTTCAAGTCCTCTTCGTTTTCAGCAAGAAAGGATGTGTCTCTGCATATTGAAGGTTATTAATAACCCTTCCTCCAATCTTGATGTCACATTCTTCTTCATCTAATCCATCTTCACTAATGATTTACTCAGTATATAGATTGAGGCAGTGTGATGAGAGGATATAACCCTGTCATATACCTTTCCTGATTTTAAACCATGTCGTATTCCCCGTTCTGTTTGGAAAACTGCCTCTTGATCCATGTACAAATTCTTCATGAGCACAAGTGTTTTGGAATTCCCATTCTTCTCAAGGTTTTCCATAGTTTATTGTGGTTCACACAGTCGAACGCCTTGGCATAGTCAGTAAAATTCAAGTAGGCTTCCTTTTGGTATGCTCTGCTTTGAGACAATATCCATCTAACATTAGCTATAATATCCCTTGTTCCACATCCTTTTCTGAATCTGACCTAAATTTCTGGCAATTCCCTGTAAATGTACTGCTGCAATTGTGATCTTCAACAAAGTTTTGCTTGCATGTCATATCAATGACATTGTTCTATAGTTTGAGCATTCTGTTGGGTCACCTTTCTTTGGAATGGGTACAAATATGGATCTCTATCTGTCAGGTGGCCAAGTAGCTGTTTTCCAAATTTCCTGGCACAGGTAAGTGAGCTCCTCCAGTACTTCATCAGCTTGCTGAAGTATTTCAATTAGTATTCCATAAATTCCTGGAGTCTTGTTTTTGGCTAATATATTCAGTGCAACTTGGACTTCTTCCTTCAGCATCATTGGTTCTTGCTCAATGTTACCTCCTGAAATAGTGGAAGGTCAACTAGTTCTATTTGGAACTGTGACTGTGTATTTGTTCCATCTTCTCTTGATCCTTCCTGCATCATCCACCATTTTGCTCAGGGAATCTTTCAAGACTACAATTGGAGGCTTGAATCTTTTTCTTGAGTTCTTTCCATTTCAAATATGCTGAGCATGTTCTCTCTTGGTTTTTAAATTCTAGGTCTTTGCCCATTTAAAAACTTGGTTTTTTCTTTTTGAGCTGCCCTTAGAAACGCCCCCCCCCCCAGCTGTTTAGCTTTGTCCTTTATTTTATTTGCTTTAGCTACTTTATAATTAAGAGCATGTTTCAGGGCCTCTTCTGACATCCACTTGGATCTTCCTTTCTTTTAAATATTTTTTGCTTTCTTCATGAATGATGGCCTTGGTGTGTCCCAGAACGCATCTCTTCTGCCATTATTGTTCAGTGCAGAAACTCTGCTCTGGAGAAGTTCTCACAATTGAGGAGGGATAAACTCAAGGTCGCATTTTGGCTCTCGTGGACTTGTTTTAATGGTCTTGAGCTTTATCCTGAACTTACAGAGAATAATGGTCCTGACCACATTCGGCCCCCTGCCTACATTTATAACCTGCTATTGAACTTCTCCCTCGTGTCTTACCACAGTTGTTGATAATTTGTATTCTGTGTATTCCACCTGGGGAAGTCCATGTGTCTTTTATATTGTTGAAAAACGGTATTTCCTAGGAATAATTTTGATTGTTATAGGAATAATGTTATTCCTAGGAATAACATTGATTTTGCAAAGTTCTATTGTGAGTTCAGGGCATCTTTTTTCCCCTACAATGCATTGAACTATCAGCATCCCCTATTTAATGCTCTTTATTATTCCATGTAATGCTTATTTAGTAATAAAGCCTTTTTTTCAATAGGTAAGTTTTCTGGGTTTAAGGTAGATTTTTAGTTACCTTTCCCCATGTATCTTTTTCTAAACATTTACTTAGGGTAGCTGACTAAACTCTTAGTGGTCCCATAGGACTGGGTTCTCCCCCTGTGAGTTTCTGAGATTGTAACTCTTTCTGTATTGGCATCAAATTGATGACAGTCAGTTGGTGCTTTTGTTGTTGTTGTTGTTGTTGACCAAACTACTATTGGCTCACATACTAATATTATGTAATAACAATTTGTGTCCTTAATTACATTTGCGCTTAAGGCGACATGAAAAAATATGAATTACATGTGAGAATGTGAAATGGGGCATAGCTTACGTGATGGCTCGAGGGAATCATGTTATTATTTCTATCCTATTGAAAGTCCTAAACTTCTTGGAAATTTAGAACTAAGGTTCTTGAAGGACACTGTCTCCTTTTAACCCCCGTTTTACTTTCACAGCCATGCAGGTCACCTCAATTGTTAGTAATTACGTGAAAGAAAAAACAGGCTTCTCTTAGAGCTTATCTCTTCCTCCTGCACAGCGTGCATCTGGGCTATTGGAGGTTATAAGGGAGCTACACCCAATGCTATCATTCTACATTCTAGTCCAGGCCAAAGTCCTTTAGTGACTGGACTGATTCCACTTTCAGAGTCTTTGGAAAAACTGGAGTGGGTCCTTGGCTTTTTAGATAAACTCATGCTAGAAGAAGTATTCAAAAGTCAGTGTCCCAACAGGCCTGCTTCTCGCCCAACCAAGAAGATTTTCCCAATCTCGGACTGAGTTAAAAGACTTAGGTCCCATCCACCTGCTGAGATACTGACCACAAGAACACCGAGAGCCAAGCCTTGCAGGTGCACTGAGAAACCGGAAGTCCCAGAAACTCCTCTGTTCAACTCATATGGTAAGAGAACAATGTGTGGTGCTCTGCTCTGTTCTGCAGGTGTGGGTGCTGAAAAGTGAAGGGCGTGCACGCTAGTTCACGGGGTGTAGTAAGGCTAAGCCACAGAGGGGAGTTTGGAAATAAGGAATAAATAAATGCAAGCAGGAGTCAGTGAGATAGGCTGAAAGGAGTAGGCTGGTTTTTGTAGTTTTGGGGTCTAATTTTATTTCTCATCTTCGAATTAGAAATTTTCGATTTAATGAGAACCGGGGGGAGATGAGTCCACCGATAAACAATAGAGTCTCCGGAATGCAGGAGAATAATCTAAGGTTTACCATTCTCCACACCTGCTGAGGAAACAGGTGGTTTTCATTTAAAAGTCAAGGAAAGCAAACAACACATTGTGGTTAGAGTAGGGGAACCAGAATTAAAAAAAAAACATTCTTAGAATGTTTATGCTAAAGACTGTGAAGGAGAACGTGAAAAAAAACAAAATAGAGCACAAACAAAAAAGCAACCAAGCAAAGGCACGAACAAAAGTCCAAGGTTAGAGGTAAGTCTTTGAACGAACCCTTTTTGTTTTGCTTTGTAAGAATTTTAACAGGGTTGCTTTTCTTCTACAGCGTCTCTGACTGTAGGAGGGAACACATGCGTGCGTCCGGCGCGCTCCATTTTCTGCTCTGAAGATGGTGGATTTCCCGAGTTTCTCTCCCACTCAGTGTTTCCTCCATCTTCTCCTTCTCCTCACATCCACATGCCGCACAGCAGGTCAGTCCTTTGTCTCGTGCATGTTTTTAATTTGTTCTTTACAATTGCTCTTTTGATGTAATCCACATAACCCGTTTCCTGTCAAAAACAATTTTTCTAGTGGGAAAGTAAGGCTGTGTCAGCTACTAATAGGACATCTGTAGGTGCTGAGTAGGGAGGGGGCAATCTCCTGCCCAGCAGCACTCCCCACTGCTCTGAGCAGTCCTTTTAGCTCTCATGGTATTAATATTTTTCTAAATTGTCATTGAGCATAATCAATTTTAAGCAGGTCATTCTGGAAGTGATTGTAAAAATATACCTGATGACGTTCACAAGGCCAGTAAAACTTCTGTCTGAAAACAAAGGTGTCGGAATCAAGAATCCGAAGTTCAAGTTTGTTGTGCCCTCAGTTCAATTCTCTCTGAATCTGCCCTGCCCCGTAGCACACAGCAGCACAACCCGAGGAAACCTTGCCTTTGTAGGACATCTGCATCGTTTCTTGGTGACTGGACGATGTTTTGTTTGTTATTCATACGGGTTTCACTTCCTGGGTTTGGGAAGGAGATCACCAGGTCTGTTTTCATTGTCTGTCTTGATGCGAAAGCTCTACTGAAACCTGGTGAGCATACGGTCCCACCATGAGTGGAAACTGTCCCACAGGAACTATTTGACTCGGCCATGAGTCCCTGCATGGACTGCCAGATCTCCATTCAGGTCTAATGTCAATTAGGCAGTAAAAAATGTATATATAGTTAACTGTCCATCTGCATTGACTCACCCATGCCATGCTAGGAATAGCTTTCAAAGAGGCTCTCACGTGTGTGTGTGTGTGTGTATAAATCATTTGTATAAGAACGCTCACTGCAAAACTGTTAATCAAGATATTAAGTCAGAAGCAGTAAAGTTGTGCATCAGTGAAACATTTTGACATTATGATGTAAGCAGGATTAAATAAAATCAGGTAAAGTTGGCTAAATGATTCCCTAGCCTTTGTCACAGAATTGGATATGTAATAGCCCTTGTCACAGTACTGGATATGTAATAGTCCTATCTTTGTATATTAGGAACCCTGGTGACATAGTGTGTAAAGCAATAGGCTCCAAACTGCAAGGTCAGTCATTTGAAACTACCAGGGGAAAGATGAGGCTTTCTACGCCCTAAAGTTACAGTTTCACAAACACACAGAGGCAGTTCTATCCTGTCCTAGAGGGCCACCATAAATCAGAATCAACTTGATCGCAGTGAATTTTGTTTTTGTTTTTAATTTATGTGAAAAAGAATCCGTTTTCCTAACTTTTCACTTAACTGTTTCATATCCTTTTCTAGACCAAGTTGCTTACGTAATATGTACCAGCCAATGAACTAATGGGTGATATCCATTAAGTCACAGGTGTATGCTGAGATTTACACAAGATTAGAGAAAAGAAAGGGCCATGCCTTGCATCCAGTGTAAGGATCACTCTTAAGCTTCCTGGGAGACTGTCTGATCCACCCTCTCTGGGACTGAGGAATACTGGCCACTTTGCTCACCTGCATGTGAGCGTGAGCAAAGATGCGACAGCGTTTCGTTCTTACGTAGGGTCTCTGAGTCAGAAATGATTAGATTTTCCTAATAATAGCAGTTGTAAATGTATAAACAAATACATTTCAAACTCTAAACTGGCAACAATTTTTACTTCTGGCAAAGCGGATACCATCGGTTGGTCAGAGGTACAGGGAATATAGTTGACATTGAATTTCTCTTCTGCGTGTCTTCTTTATGTTGTTTGTATCACTTACTCCTTATTCGGAAAACAATTGAAATAAGAAATAGGTTTGAATCATGTAATAATGAAATGAAAGTTGTCCATGTCATTTGCTAGCACTTATCTGAATCTGTCTCCGATATCCATGCAGTGCTTGGGTTTACTGTGAAGGGACCAGCTGGGCCTGTTGTCGTTGAGCTTGGAGCAGATGCCACGCTGCCCTGCCAGCTCTCGCCTGCGAGGAGCGCAGCCCACATGCACATCCGCTGGTACCGAGGCCAGCTCTCCCCCGCTGTGCACGTGTACCAGAATGGACAGGAGCAAGGCGGGGAGCAGATGCTGGAGTATCGCGGCAGGACCGAGTTGACTCGAGATGCCATAGGCAAGGGGGGTGTGGCGCTGGTGATACAGCATGCCCGTGCCTCTGATGACGGCCAGTACCGATGTCGTTTTAAAGATGGTGACATATCCCAAGAAGCCACTGTGCAGCTGAATGTCATAGGTATGTAACTATAGTGTAGCGTGTGTATGTTAGAGTGTAAATCAGAGAAAAAAATAAGGATATGTATATATCCAACCGGCATTTCTTGTGATCTTTCATAAGTTGCTATGCTATATTACCTTATAGTCTCTTTTCTTAAATACCAAGGCAGGCCGATTTGTTAAAACAAGGGGAAAAAAAACATACAAATTTCGCTTTCCTAAAATACCCTGTAAAATGACTTCACTCGCATTGTTTCAGATAAATACTGATACTTCCTTCAATCATTAGTTTTTACTCCATCAGGAAAGAAAACGAACAGAAGAGTTCAATTTCATTCCTAGTTTTTCTGACCTTATTTTCTTTCTGTTCCTGAAATGACCCCAAAGTTCTCTCGGTTGAAGAACAGTGCAAAGGCTTTATGCTGAATTTAAAATAGACTCACAGGCCACTCTAAAGTAGACCACGAGTAACTCTTTGACCTGTGAACTTTGGTTTAGGATCTATATACAGAAGGTCAGGTTAGCTTTCAACCTCAAAACTTCGAGTCCAGAAAACTAGAGACCTTGCACATGTGTTTACTTCCCCAGGCTTAGGCTCTGCTCCAGAAGTGTACATGACAGGCCCTGAAGATGGTGGAATCCGAGTGCTGTGTTCCTCGGGTGGCTGGTTCCCTAAACCCAAGGTGCAATGGAGAGACATGGCTGGCGTGAAGCTACCTTCCCTGTCTGAGGCCCAGTCTCAAGACGGAGATGGGCTTTTCCATGTCGAGGCATCTCTTGTGGTCAGAGATAGCAGCCTGGGCAATGTGACCTGCTCCATCGAAAATCCTCATTCTGGACAAGAGAAAGTGTCAGCCATCTTCCTCCCAGGTCGGTGAGGCTCAAACCCCAATGCACAGTTGGGATGTGATTGGAGGCTGGGAATCAGGGTACAAAAGGAAAACAGGTGCTAAAGGGAGTTAGAAAGGACAGACTTCCTTCCAGTGAATCACGAACTGTGTCTCCATGGGCTCATGCCAGAGCCCTTCTTCCCCAGGATGTCTCCATGGAAAGCAGCCCTGGCTGGGACGGTCCCTGTGCTGGGCCTCCTCCTCATTGGAACCTGCTACATTGGGTGGAGAGAACATCAAGACAAACAGAGAGAAATAAAGAAAATGGGGGAAAAAGCTAATGAGAGAGATGAGACAAGGAAACAGAAGGAACATGCGCTTCAACTGAAAGGTAAAGGCGGGCAGCAGAGCAAGCCAGAAGTTCATGGAAAAGCTGTGCATGTGGCTTGTGTCGGGTGGATAGAGAAACCAAGGGTTGCCCAAGGGCACCAGGGAAACACAAAACACCGAGGAGTCTCAAGAAGTGGCAGTCCGATGATGAAGAGAGCTTTGTGGGAGGTTAGATGAGCAGGTATTGTTCATGAAGCCTCCACAGGGTAGCTCCCAAAGCTCATGCCATGCTCTTTGAAACCTCTGTGTCCAAACCATGGCTTCTGTTTTGCTTTGTGCAAAAGGTGTTCCTTATTGTGGCTTTCTATCACCCTCCAACAATGAGCTTTAGAAGCACCTAAGAAATCTTAACTCCTTGAGAGCATGGACAAGTTTGCTATATGACTCCATGACACTTCCAGTATAGCTTTATATGGTACTTGCCATGTTCTATTTGACATACATGTTATCTAATCTTTCTTACTCACTTATGTATGGGATTCTCAAAGGAAGTTCACGCTGAATGCACTTTACTTACTCCTTAAACTCAGAGGGGAGATACTACCCAATCTGATTGATTTCATGTTTTCTCCTCTTTCAGAGACGCTCCAGGAAGAACTCAGTGAGTCTTATTTCTTTTGTTAACTTATGTAGAATATTTGCTTCCATTTTAACACCTGTTCTGAGCTTCTCATTAATTTTTTTCCTTTTTTTTTCAGAACAGCGGAAGGCCTTATATGATGAAGGTAGGCAACTCTGGGTTCCCATATCACTCATCCTAATGCCCACAATTTCTTGGCTCTTTTCTTAGAAGTAAAAGCTAAACACTTTTACGATAACTGATAAGAAAGGAGAGAAATGTGAAGCCACAAATTAATGTCTCACCTCGTTTCTCCTGAATTGGTTCTGTTTCAGATTGGAAAAAGGCCCTGCTATATCCTGGTGAGTAAAAGTCTTGTCTTACATCTTGTCAAGTGACCCTAGTATTCTGAGATTAAGGAAATTAGGAAAAGGCACACACACACACACACACACTGTTGTCCACCTGCAAGTTACTACCTCTCATCCTTACCTAGTAACATGACCAGTAGCCTGAGAATCAACTGAATATGGGAAAGAAGAAGTATCTTCCAAAGGATTTTCAAGGATTGATTTTCAGAAGTAGATAATAAGACATGTCTTTCAAGACACCCTTGGGGGAACTCAAACCCACGTCTTTCCATTAGCGGCAAAAGCAGTAACCATTTACCTCACTCAGGGTGTCCCTCATCCTCAACCATGAAGACCATCAAGGTCTGAAACGCATCGTAATGTGGCGCTGTGAGCACTAGCTTACGCCAGGTGTTCTCCAAATCGGATTCAGGCTGGACAACTTCATTCCTCCAGCATCAGGCTACCGTGAGACAGAGCGACAAAATCATAGCAGTTGTTCTCTAATTTTCAGACCCTACAATTTATGTTATTTTCGCACTTTATTTTCCATTCAACAATTTACAGTCATTGATTGCAACCCCCACAATGTAACAACACTTATCACACTTTCTCTTTGCATTCCCTGTTTTTATTCCTTATTCTTTGCTACTCCTTCTGCCATCTAAGTTTTGTTCTTGGGCAAATGCTACCTTTTTAATCTCAAATGGTAGATTATGCTAAGGAGTATATACCTCCTTAATCTTTGCTTAACTCATCGATTTGCCAATTGATTGGCTGAAAATTGACCCATGGGGAGGTGGTTCAGTCTAGGTTTAAAAGGTGTTGAATGACCATATTCCTGAGTTCCACCAGTAAGCTTGTTTGTATATTTTTAATTAGTACTAGTTTTGTTTAACATTTTTCTCCTGCTCTACCTGGGATCTTCTAATGTTATCCCTTTCAAATGGCACTGGTGGTGGCTGGGTACCAAATAATGCCAGCATCACGGACTTGGATGATGCAGTGAAAAGAGTTGGGAGGAGGATGGGAGGAGGCAAGGCAGGAATCTCTTACCTCCTTTTCACTCCTGGGGTGTGTTTACTGCCCGGTCTCAATACATATATTGCTTTATTTCAGACTGGAGGAAGGAACATTTCCAGCATGGTGAGTGGTTCTGTTTGGTTATTTCTGTTACTTGGTTATTTCTCCAACCATCATTTGTGAGTTGAAAAGATGGCAGTAGCTCTATTGTAGGTAAGAGAGACAGAGAGAGAGAGATTAAATGGCAGCCTGAACTGAAATTAGCCAGTGTCCTTGTGCTCCCATCTTTCATATGTGTGGGACCGACTTGATTGTGACAATAGAAATGAAGACAGCTCCTCATCTTTGTGATAATTAAATTTCCCTACATAAGAAAATTGCTCAAAATTGCATGTGTAATGAAATTTCTCTTTTAAAAAGGTCATCTCGTGTAAGATCTGTTAGTAATTGAGGAACAGGGGTATAATTTATACAGAAAAGTGGGGGGAAAACCTATTCTTAAGTAAATATTGCAGGTCCTTGGTGAGTACTAAACCACTGCATCTAGTATAGATTCGGGAAAGAAAGTCCCCACTCTAGGAAGAGGTCCTCTTTCGCTACTCTTTCACATTGATCCTATTTCTCTAAGGTTTCTCGCTCACAGCAGTTTTCTGAAATATACAGTTTTCCACAATAGATCCTTTTCTTCTCTTCCAGTCGCTGTTTCCCTCCAGCATGAAAACTTTCATCCGAATGGTTCAGACGCAGAGCGAAGGGAGAACAGCAAGGAAGGAGCCCCGAATGTAACACTCAGTGATAAGAAAGGAGACGGCAACATTATTATATTTGATCATGAAAAAAAGTTCGTGTCAGGGAGATATTATTGGGAACTGGATATTAGTAGGGATGCTGATGCGTGGGCTTTGGGCATTCGCGAGGAACATAGTGATAACTTATTAAAGAGATACATTGTCTTGGAGAAGAAGGGATGTAAATACAGGGGTCTCACTTATGGCCCCAAGGACTATTTTAAAGAAGAGCCACTCTCAATAGAAAATTTCCCACAAAAGATTGTGGTTTTTCTGGATTATGAAGATAGTGACCTTTCTTTCTATGACATGACTGAAGGTACGCACATCTTCTCCTTCACGGAGGTGAGCTTCTCTGGGTTGCTCTACCCTTACTTCACACGTAACTCAATGAAAGTCTAGAGGAAGAATCTAGACCATGAATACAATAGCCCATTCTTTATCATTTCAAGTTCCCATCTGTGGGTATATCCCGAGTCTTCTTTGATTAGGTGACCACTTGGAAGTAAGCTCTCAGGTTAGTTTCAGAACTCCCCAGGCCCAGTTTCTTAAGTATTGAAGGATGGCTTGGTGCTATTGGTTTTATTGTTTTAAATATGGTTTGGATTTTTTTTTAACTTTCTATACCGTCAATTATAGGCTGATACATTTTGAATATAAAGAAATTAAAAAAGAATAAAGTGAATAAAATAATAAAGTTACAAGTGTTAATCTTCTATTACTAGACTCAACATACATAGAATTATTCTTTCAATTTTTCTTAAGGTTTCTCGGCCTTTATACTTCATTTCTGTACTTGTCTCTAAAAGCACTTCAATAAAACTTGTGAAAGCTGGAATCTGTATAAGACAAAACTATTAATCCAGTTGTTGTCTCTATAGATGTACCTATCATGGATTTGTCTTAGAGCAAATGCTAACATAGTTATAGATAATTGAAGAAATGGCATGGGGCCACTTATCTCCTCAGACTATATGGGAGAAGGAGAATCCAACTCCACATCTACCCAAGGATGAGGTCAGACATGACTTCACCCTTCATCGTTCTTTACCCTATTCTGACACCAACCATATCCTTCCTATTGCACTCTACTTCTCTGTGATCTTGATAACTTGTCTCAATGGACATACAGAACTCAGAGACCATACTCACAATTATAGGGGTTTATTAACCTAGGTTAACAAGTTACCACAAGTCAGGCCATCCTCTGATTCTTCTAGCTTATGCCTCTTTTCTTCTTTTGTGTATATACACAATGTTTTTACAATCACGACAAGCCTGCTAACAATTGCATGTAACTTAATCATATAATCCTATCAAAATCATCTCCTACCATCTCTTCCCCAAATCCACCAGGATAAAAGAAAATTATTTAGTGGGGATTTTCCATTGTCTCATTCATCTTGAAACTAAATACATGTATGAAAGCTTGTAAGGCAGCTATTTCATGCCTTTATCACTGTTTTAGAGATCCAATCTCTAAACTGCCTAGCACCATTAACCCACTGCTCTGCAGCAATAAGTATGATTTGTGATATGAAGAATCTCCATTCTGGTTTGAGCTTTGAGCATAAGCAAAGTATAAACACAAAACCAAAATCACTGCCATCCAATTCTGACTCACAGCCACCCTATAGGACAGGGTAGAACTGCCCCTGTGGGTTTCCAAGATTATAATTCTTTAAAGGAATAGAAAGTCTCATCTTTTTCCTGAGAAGCAATTGGTAGCTTCAAACTGTCACCTTGCAGTTAGCAGCTCAACTCATAACTCATTATGGTACCAGGGTTTCACTAGAATTGCTGCAATGCACAGGATCTCATAGTGTCAAACATTTTTCTTTTCTTTTGGTCAACTCAGCCCAAGACATCTAAGTTAGGTCAAATTGGTACCAATGGCAATCTTGGAAGTTCACACACACACACACACACACACACATACACACACACACACACACCTGGCCACACACATCAGCTATAGCCATGAACTAGACCAGACCTGTGGGCTCAGGATCTGTATAACACTTAAAACTTAAGACCATGCAAGCCTTTCTCTGCTTTCTCATCTCTACCCACTATACATCAGGTTAATGGGGGCCAATGGAACATATCCAATACTCACCATTGTGGGCGTTTGTTAGGGAAGTTAACAGGTTACAACAAGTGAATATCAGAAAATATTTAGGATAAAGATATAGTCCTTTATCCACAACAACCTTTTTTCAGCTATGTCAGAAGCTGTGTCTCTGGTCTTCAACCTCTAAGCCAAACAGCCCCTTGGCCTTTGCCTCGTCCCATAGGTTGAGAAGCCCACCACTTTGTTTCATGGTCTCTGCATAGCTCCTCTGCTCTGTCTCATGATCTGTTGCTGTTGCTTTTGCTGTCTCTGCCACTTCAGGCAGGGATCTCCCATGTGCTCTCCTAGTAGCTCCTTAGTTTTGATTGTCAAGGGCTTCCTGTATCCCCAATAGTGAGATGGATTACTTTTATACCCAGTAGAAAGCAAAACTGACAAGTCTCCTAGTTAGCATCCTCTATATCTTATTTACAAGATCTCACTCATTTAGTTGGAATTCCAAAGACTATGGATAGAGTCATAACACACAGTCTCACTTTACTTCAGGAATAAACAAAAAATAGGACTATGGAATCATTAAAAAAAAGCAACCTCAACAATCAAAATGAAGGCAAAAAAAGAGGGAAATCACATTAAGCATCAATATTAAATCATATAAACAATCACATTAAAAGCAAAGACAGAAATTTTCAGATTGGTTAATAAAGTAATACCCAACTATATATGCCTACAAGAATTATATTTTAACATTGAAGGCTGTAGTATAGTGAAATTATTTGGTAGAAATCAAAATGGAAAAAATAACCCAAATGAACTAATTAATATGTATATAATATTATCCTTTCTAAGAATAGAAAGTATCTTCTTTAAAAGTGCACACGGGTGGGGGGGAGAGAAAAATGAGGAGCTGATTCCAAGAGTCCAAATGGAAAGCAAATGTTTTGAGAATGATGAGGGCAACGAATGTATAAGTGTGCTTTACACAATTGATGTATGTATGGATTGTGATAAAAGTTGTATGAGCCTCAATAAAATGATTTTTTTAAGTGCACACAGAATATTTACCAAAATAGACTATATTTTCTGTCAAAGACTAAATCTCAATGACTTTAAAAGACTCATGTTATGAAAAATGTGTTCAATACTCAAAATAAGTTAATGTAATTTATCATAGTAGCACACTAAAATATAAATAGATATAGAGAAAAGTACTTGCCAATCAGAAAACAAACCAGAGAGCTATCTGGAAAATACTCCCTGTTCTAGAAAAGAGAATGACAGACTTATAAATAAACCTTACCAAAGAAGAAATCTAAAAGGAAATTAGAATGAATCTGGAATAGAGATGGCGATAAAAATGCAACATATGAAAATGTACAGCGCTGAATACCTAGGCTAGAAAACAAGCTGCGACTCAACTCAGTTATCTTAAAGGCCATCTTGAGAAACTTGAAAAGACCAAATTAAACCAAATAAATAAAAAGGAAGATACTAGAGTTGAGAATGAAATGAAATGGAAAAGAAAAGCATTCAAGTACATCAATGAAAATGAATATTATTTATTTGTAAAGACCAATATATTTTTTATAAATTTCAAGCAAGATATCAATAGAAAAAAATGAAAACACAAGTAACCACTATAATGGACGAGAGCCGTGACAATACTACAGATTCCACTTATAGTGAAAGAATCATAAGGGAACATTATGAACATTTGGAATAAATTGGTTAACAGATAAAACCAAAAAATGTATTGAATGATACAAAATATCAAGCGATATGCAAGAAGAATTAGATAACCTGAATATCCCTATATCTACTAGAGAATTTGAAATTGCAATTAAATACCTTAATACAAAGAAAACTCCAGGCCTGGGTTGTGTCACTAGTTATTTTTTCCAAAACTAGAGAAAATATCATACAAATTCTGCAAAAATTCACCGAGAAAACCAAACAGATGGAAATACTTCCCAATTCATTCTATAAGAACAAAATTTCCCTGATATTAAAACCAAATGATGGCCATAAGTAATGAAAATCACAGACCAATCTCCCTTATGAACATAGTTCTAAAATTATCTCAATAATATTAGCAACTCAAACTCAACAATCAAATATCAGTCAATATAATTTACCAATTCAACAAACTAAAAAAGATTACATACAGAAAAACATTTGACAAACTGTAAATTATCTCCAGTAAAAATATTAGCAAGGAAAGAAACCATCCTCTGATAAAAGACAACTTGCAAAACCTTCGCCAGTATCACACTTTATGATGAAAGACTGAATGGTTCTCCCATGAAATCAACAATGAGCCACTTCAGCATGTTCTCTCTCCAACATTAGACAGAAGTTCCTAGCCACTTTTAGTAGGTGATAATAGTGAATTAAAAGCAACCCGATTGTAAAGAAAGAAGTAGAACTACATAAACTCAAAGGTGACCTTGTCATCTATGAACACAGTTTTCTGGAATTTAAAGCAAGTTACTGTAACTAATGCTATAAAACAAAATACGTAAAAATTGTTGAATGGAAAAATAATATTCTCTGCAAACGTTCACCCAAACTACAACAAAATGTTTTTTAAAGAACACTGTTATATGAGTATTTTTAGTGTCAGTTTTAAAACTCTACCGAGTTAGATAAAATGTTCCGTAACTATTTTAAAAATACAATTGACATTATATAGAATTATTTGGCGCTTTTACACTTAGAGCATTTTAAAAAAATTAAAATTTGAGTTTAAGCACCAAAATAAATAAATAAAGCAACCTCCTTAATGAGCCTGGTAAGTGATTTTTAGAAAACATTTGAGGATAGAAGAGCATATGCAAGAAACAGTGGTATTTTTTAATAATAATAGGAAAACACTCTGTGCTTGTGTAGGTAAGTATTTGTGCATATATGTGTATAGGGAATTGAATGTGTGTATTCATGTGCACACAAAGGCATACCTATAAGCATATGCATAGTCATATGTATTGCATGAATTAGTATATCCATATATAATAAAGCACATAAAAGCCCAGTTATGGATACTTCCTAGATATAATAAAACACCTTATGCAATTGGGTTTACTGGATTTGAAGGATTAGGACCATGTATCATGTGTCAACTCAGTAAAATTGGTGCAATATTGTCCATAAATACATTCCACATCCTAGTTTAGCGATTGGTGTTTGTAGTCTTAACACCTTCTGAGAGGTCATTCAAGAGTGTCTTCCTTCATCGGAGGAAAAGAGAAAGAAGAAAACCAAAGACACAAAGAATAAATTACATTTTACATAGGTCATTATCATTTATA